TGGGCGAACACACAGTCACATATGAGATATATATATATATATATACATACATGCCTACGTATGTCGGTATGTCTTCTGCCTGTCTGTCCGTCTGTCTGTCTGTCTGTCTGTCTGTCTGTCTGTCTGTATATATATATATATACATACATGTGTATATATACACATATGTATATATATATATAGGCGTGCCGCTTAAACTCTGCAAAGCCGGCCTCATCTCCATCGAGGATGCTCCCCTCGCCGTCGAGGAGGGAACTCTTGTGGCAGAAGAGCTGGGCGCGCCGGGAGCTGAATACGTAGGGTTTAGGGTTTAGGGTTTAGGGTTTAGGGTTTAGGGTTTAGGGTTTAGGGTTTAGGGTTTAGGGACTATCATACGATGGCTTGTCTGATCAAGGCATCTTCTGTGCCCCGCTGTCCTATCAGTGTCTACGTCTGTGTATATGTGAATTAAAAACTAAGGTATACATGGCTTTCAGGGGTCAAAACAAAGACGCATACCTATCACCTCTAACATGAAAATAGTTGAGGGCTGTGCTTCATACTAAACCCTAAGACTTGACAAAAACTTGAGTGCGGGATACCTCAGAGGGCTTCGCGCCACAGAGACTGTGCTAGGCGGACGCTGGTCCGGTGCAGAGTGTTGAGCTCAAAGATTGCCTAGAAGTTACGTTCAAAGGCATCCCATCACACAGAATTTGAGGCTTTAGGCTTTGTTGATTCAAGCCTCTGGTTAGGAGCAGGAGTAAGCAGCAAGCAGCTGCACTGATCTTCCTGGCATTTTACGGAATCGGGGTTTCTGTCGAGGTCTTCAGTCTTGCAGGGATTCAAAATTGAAAACATGGTGTGATTCCTCAAACCCAAAACCGTCAAAACCCTAAACCAACCCTAAACCCTTAAACCCCAACCTAACCCCAAACCCTTAAACCCTAAACCCCGCTAAACACTGAGCCCGAAAAACACTGAATCCTTAGAACATAAACCTAAACCTCAAACCACATTATTCAGTAGAGAGCCCTAGATGAGTGATCCAAACTTTGCTCACAGAAGTCCCGCAGAGTTTTCTGAGTTGAGAGCTCGGGGTTCAATGCTTGGGCATTCGGTTGTGCGGGCCGGGGGTTTAGGGCTTGGGGTTTGAGGTTGACGGTTTGGGCTGACAGGCGCCGTGAACCAAACGACATTGACAAATTGAGGACCAAGTTATGTTGTTAGAGCTGCCCCCCCTTTAAAAAAAAGGTAGCATGCATTCAAGAAGTTTGCTAACCCTGATACCCAACGCCACAAAACCCTCTACACCTAAGCCTCAACCCCACTCTAATCCATAAGCCTTACCCTCAACTCTCAAACCTAAACCCTAAACCCCAAGCCGAAAACCCCCAAACCCTGCAGCCCGTAAACCCCTCAGGCGCGGCACATCAGGGCCCTCGATGTCGCTCGGCCGGATGAATCCAAAGCCCTGGCTGAGGTCGGTTTCGGGCCCTTACGATGCAAGGCCACACATAAGCATCGAACATACGAGTCTAAAGCTAAGCCAGGCGTTCATCTACTCCATAAACCCTAAACCCTAAACCCTAAACCCTAAACCCTAAACCCTGAACCCTAAACCCTAAACCTGGAATCCTATGAAAACCCTTGATGTGGCAGCAATTTGGTCTGAAGGCTTTCGGCCTCTACGGGATTGTCAAGCAACGGGCCTCGGTTGGAGATTCCTTCATATCCTTTCTTCGGAGTCATGGTTTAGGGTTTATAGGGTCTAGGGTCAGTTGGGGGCATGGGGTCGAGCTTCTGATTGAAACTTCTTCCAACCATAGAAGTCCCAACGGGGGGTGATCCTCATTCCGGAAAGCTCCGCCAAGTCCATCGCCTTCACTCAGGACGGAGCAGAGCATCCGCTCAAACTCCCACGAGGAAGCAAAATGAAACACGAGCTGGAAGTGCGTTATATGAATAATCATACAGTAGCCCCATGAACCGTATGAGCCCTGACTGAACCCGAATCTTCTCTAATCCCGAGAACCCAAGACCTAAACTCACCCTCTCGCAAGGACAACTGCCTTATCGTCATTCCATCGAAGCATTACCCCGATCGGCATGGCTCCTGGACAGCCGGAGGTGTAGTTGCCCCGGTTTCGTTTCGGGTTAAAGGGTTAAGGGTCGAGGGTGGCGTGCGGCACTACGTACACAACCTTGTCAGAAAGTTCAACCAAATGCACCAAATTTGGCCTCCCACTAGGAAACAATTCAGAGTAATAGAATATCAGAGTACACAAAATCTGCCAAAATGCCTGGCGCTGGATTGCCAAGACGTACAAGCTTCCTCACTGGCCATCTTGCTGGTGTCGGTAAGACAAACCCTCACTTAACCTGGTTCAGCTTCGGGTTTGCATTTTAGCGTTGCTTCCCGGTATCTCTTTAATGACAAACTGTACCCTTTTTTTTGCGACTCCTCAACATGAAAAGAAGACCCCCAAATGGAGCGGTACAACTGCGGGACCTGGTCAGGGTTGAGGGTTTGGGTGCACACCGGATGGCAGATGGAGTGTCGGACGCAACATTTAAATTTTTACGACAGTTGCACACTGCACGGCAGCATTTGTTCAAGAAGCGGCAGTATCACAGGGTGAGTATGTCGGAACTGCGCGATTTCAGGGTGCTTCTGCTTGCGTATGGGCAATCACTTCAAGTCAGGGTTTTGAGTAATTAGGTTAGACGCACGATTACCCCAAATGGGGGTTCTTACCAGTAAGTCTCCTGTGTTGAAGAGCTGCTGTCTTTGTGCGCTCTGCGGCTCATCAAGAATATATCAAAAGCTACATGGCCTGAGACCACACCGCGAAATTTAGCAGAACAATAACGATCAAAGAACATGGTCACTAGCTGACTCTGACCACGGTTAGCTCCACTGCGATGCCGAGAGCAACGACAGCGAGGGTGAGAACTGCTTCTGATTCTCATGCTGATGGTCATGACGCTGCTGCTGTCGTTGCTGCTGCTGCTGACATTGCTGCTGCACTGCCCAGTACGACTACAGGACCACAGCGACGACAAGCAAGTACGGCGACTAATGCTACAGTTCGGCGGCGGCTGTGGCAGTCGCACCAGTTGCTGCAGTTGTAGTTGTTGTCGTCGACGCCACCACCCGGAGCCGGCAAAAGGGATGCGATACACTAAGCTATCCAAAAACGTAACAGAACCACCTGAAACCTATATAAAGCCCTGTCAAAGCACCCTACAAACCCGCACACATGAAATCCTTGGCCTTTAATGCCAAAGAATCATGCACTCTGTACGCACACGGACCCCTAGGGCAGCAGCCTTAAGTGCACGTTCCGTGAGCCCCCAAACCCGCCTCGGCCGCCGTCACCCCGCCCCGGAAAGGGAGGGGGTAAATGCTCGCAATGTTTTTCTTCCCAGCTGTGAGCCAAAGGTTCGGTTGCTTAGGGTCCAACGTGGGGGGACTCTCAGCTTTGGGTTGATGCGTCATTTAGGGAGATGTTGAAAGGTTGCTGAGTACATCGGAAACTGGCCGCTGCACGGTCATGGCAGGCCTGATGGTACTTCAACTACGGCACGAAGCACTAATCTTGCATTCCAGCTTTACTGATGGACGAAAACCAGGCTCAGGTCTTGGAGCTAGGGCGAGGGTTGGAGTTAGAGGCCTTCAGTTTAAAAGGAACCCCAAGACCACAAATCCATAGTAAACTCGGCTTCCGCGTTTGTGCTTAGCCCTTCTAGCTGAAGGCTTGAAGCCGAAAATGAGAGCATCGCTCGTCGTGAATGATGCTTGTCGTCACTGTAATCTTCGTCATCGTCCTAGTCATCGTCATCATCATGACGACGACTATAGCTGACATGTCCCGCGAGCCTGCACCCACAATGGCCCTGCAGGCTCTTGAAAGCTGGATTCGCAAGGACTCTATGAATCCTAGGATGTCATCTGGGTGAAATCTGACAGACAAGGTCAAGGCACATAAACCCTAGACAGTTCCACCCCGTGCCTGTAACCCTGCCCGAATATCAGAAATTCGACCACCGACAAATTTCGCTGATTGGAGCCCAATGTTGATGAGGGATTGATCGCCTTCAGAGGAAGGCGATGCCCCAAAAACCGAAATCACAAACCCTGAACCCTCTTCAGAAATTTCGCCTGACTTGAAGGTGTAGAGTGGACCTGAGTGATGTGCTTGCTCCGGTCTTACAACGAAGGCCACGGAACCACGAGACCTCAAAGACCCGAAGCCTCCATATTCTCGTCTTGGCAGCAACAGCACGTTACGGCCGTTGCAGTACTGGTTGGATTACCAGTTTGGGGTTACGGGTTCGGCGTGCTGGCTACTACGTATGGTTACCGGTTTGAATTACTGGCTACATGGGATCAGAACTCTCATTGCAAACAAGTGACCTTAGAAATGCATTATTTCTCCAATCTTAGTCCTGCGGCGGACGTCGTCAACAGTTGATACTGAGTCTTCGAAATTGGCTCCCGATGATTTCCGACCTGGTACAAGCTGACGACGTGTCTCGAAATGGACTGACGGCATGTAAGCCAATAGTTTTATTTTTCGAACCAATGCCACCGTGACACCAATGCTGGCTACGATCTATTTGGCTAGTCCGACGGCAATAAGTATAGGGAATGAGAGATGCCCTGAGGAACTCGTAGCAGTCTTGATATTCGAATAGGGCTTTTGGAATATATTCTACTATACTTTTGGTAAGGAACCCACCCAAAATATTGGCAATTATGTAGGCCCCTGTACTACGCATATTTTGGGAAGTATCTTGCAACTTCTGCTGTCGGCCGACGTGCCCGCAATGGCCTCATTCAAGCTCACAAGCCCTCTGCAGGGTTTGCGGGTGTAAGGTTCTATGAAATGTACTAAATTACAATGTGGCGAAGTACGATACTTTATACATTGCAGTGTAGTGCTTTGTACCATATTCTGCTCTACTATGCTATACTGTAGTTTATTATGTTATACAGTACTATGTTGTGTTATGCTGTATTATCAATGTTACAGTCAGTTATATTTTTCGTATCTGACCATAATCGCTTAAAGTATAACTACTTGAATTATAGTATGACATGTTATATACCTTATGTTATCTTCATTAGGATGCAGGGTTCAGGCCTCTATTTAGGGTTTACTGTCGAAGCAGTCTATAAGGCTAAAACCCAACACCGAGCGTCGAAATAAACTTCGACGAGAACTCTCTGCAACCCAAAATCAAAAGCCCTCGAGTCCAACAGGCCTTTGCGAAAAGCAAAAGAACGCCCCTACTTCCGTGGGCGCCCCACGCTCACCATCCGGCCCTTGTATCCCACCATCTCGAAACTCCTGCGCCGTGGTGTCAGATGTTTTCCTTCGGGGCCTTAGGTCTGCGGTTTCAAGATCGGGGCTTTAGGAGGGGAGCTTTACGGTTTCAGGGTTTACCTAGACCTCCACTTTCAGCACCGCCGTTGGACAAGATAGTCTTCTGGTTAGCTGGGGTCCGCTAACGGGAAATAGGTCAAGGGTTTGATGTGTCAGGTTGAGGTCGTCTGGGTTCGCAAGAAATTTCATTTGGGATGCTGCAAGAAGACAACCCTAAACCCTAAACCCAATCTCAAGTGGGACAAACGAAGCCAAAACATAAAACGAAGCCCCGGGTCCAAAACCAGTCTAGGCGTGGTTGTTTGAGACATCCTCTAATGCAAGGGTCTGAACAATAGTTATAGTTAACATTGTGGGGATGGTATCCCGCTTTGTGCTATATGAACACCTACCTTACAAAAAACCAGACCCTCCTGTAAGTCTTAGTCTAATTATCCAAGCGCATACCAAGACCCTAAACAAAACTGAACGACTGTCGGAAACATCTTATACTATGAAACTCTGTTCTAATTCCTTAAGGGCCTGTCTGGAACCTCAATTGAGGTTCACCACATCTCCAACATTGAGGAACTCTAGAATTGTGAGGTGCAATATCATGTATGAGCCTAGCCCTTGAGAATGTGATTTCGGGGGCGCGCTACTAATTAGCATTAGCAGAATAGAGAACCCTGCCGCATAGTATTACTCATCTTTCGTGCTTCTACATCAGTGAGTAGCTCTTTACTTCAGGTTGTCGGCTTGCAGATTTAGACCTGCGTAACGTTTCAGTTTCAGATGAGATGACGCGACGGAGTGTAAGGTTTGGGGTTTCGGGTCTAGGATGTACGGCTTGTCGCGCTGAGTTTGTGGCCATTGGACTCTTGGGTGGCATGGTTGTTTGCCTGACTGCTCGGAGAACGGATTGAATCATTGAAATGCGGGAGACAAGGGCTCCCGTCCTCGAGCTCTCGTGCGAAATAGCTCTCCGACATGGCCTGCCAGGCATGCCATTGGCTCAACGTCCTACCACATAAAGCCTTTGGGCCATGCAATTCCTGAGCACTAGCCAGAACCAGAACGCAGCTAAGTCGATTGTCACTGGCTGAAAGTCTGCATCTGTACACCCCAACAACGCAGCAAAGTGGCGTCATCATGTAGAGCACTATCCTCGCCAGAAGGGCAGGGCACTGGACAGCATGCGAACGCCAACGCATTGTTCTTACACCGCAACTCGCCGCAAAGTTCATGAGCCTCCAGTGCGAACCCGAAGCCCTAAACCCTGAACCCCTTCGAGCGTGTGCCTAAATCCCTGAACGGTATCCCACTATACAGAACATACCTTGCCCAGTTTGGGTAACAATACCACCAGTCAACCCAGTAGACGATTATTCCTATACTCCCCCTACACCTCACCAACTATATCA